ATTCTTTATAATGATATTTCTTGCTCTTTCTAACTCAGAAAGTGTTATGTAGCTTTTCTTTTCTCCTTTCGAAATTAACCGCAACATCCAAGAGATTATTCTGATAATTTTGTTAAATGAACTGCAACTTTGTAGTAAATGATATATGATATTATTTTTTATGGCTTTTTCGGTGACGACGTTAACTAAACTTTCTTTTCTGACTTCCTGTTCCGTATCAAATTTTATTTGTTTTTCTTCTAACTCATTGTAATCTCTTAGCCAGGACGGACCTTCCCACCACGTAGAATGCGCTTTTAATTGAGATGCTGTTAACCCTCTACTGGCGCAATCGGCGGGGTTTTGTTCCGATTTTACATAACGCCAGCACTTTCGCGGCATTACTTTAACTATTTCTTTCACGCGATTAGCAACGAAAGTCTTCCAAAACGATGGATCTCTGTTGAGCCACCCTAAAACAATCATTGAGTCACACCACCCATAAATTTTGATATCGTATCCTTTTAAACATTCTTTTGCCTTTGACATTAATTTTGATAGAAGTAGAGCTCCGCTCAACTCCAATTTGGGTAGAGAGAGTTTTGTGCTTGTAGGAACTAATCTTGATTTCCCTACTAATAACATTATTGTTGTATTTGAGCCCCTTTTGATTCTACAGTATATAACGCAAGCGTAAGCTTTATTCGATGAATCACAAAACCCGTGCAATTCAATTGTGTCGCCTTCTCGGGTTTCAATCCAACGTGGTATTTGTATTTTATTGATATTAATAATGTCACCTTTTATTTTATCCCATTCTGATTTTATTTGATCGGGCAATTGATCATCCCATTTGATATTTGATAGCCACACATTTTGGAAGACAATTTTCAACTTTGTGGAAAGTGGTGATAACCAACCGAGGGGGTCAAATAATTTCGATATATTTGATAATAAAGAGCGTTTGGTTTCGCAATCGTTAGATATATCAATTTTTGACTCGAAAAGGAAAACGTCTTTATGTGGATTCCAGCTCAATCCGAGAGTTTTTGTTTGCTCAGCTCCCTTGAAATTAAAACTTTGATAAGATGATTCACTATAGGAATCTGATATCTCCGGTGCGTTTGATCTCCATTTTCTTAAATTAAAACCTCCTAATTTAAGTAGTTTGATTAAATCTTCATGAAGTTGTTTTGCTGATTCAATACTATGGACCCCATGGACCAGATCGTCCATGTAAAATGATTGTTCCAACACCTCCGGGGCCATACTACTGGGAAAATTCGATCTTTCATCTGAAGCCAGTTGCTTTAAGGTCATCATAGCTAGGTATGGGGCTGCTTTGGTTCCATATGTCACGGTGGTTAAATGATATTCCTTTAGAGGCTCGTTGATAGAGTTGCGCCAAATTATCTTTTGATACTGTTGATCTTTTTCATTAACCCAGATTTGGCGGAACATTTTCTCTAAATCTGCAGTAAATCCAAATTGATATTGTCTCCACTTGATGATTAGAGACTGGAGATCCTGTTGCAGATTAGGTCCAGCTTCCATCACGTCATTTAAACTTTGTCCAGATGATGTTTTAGATGACCCATTAAAGACAACTCTAAATTTTGTTGTGGTCGACTCTGCTCGTTCTACGCTGTGATGAGTCAGGTAGAAATCGGGTTTTACTGTCGGGCCACTAGATAGTTTCATATGTCCTAAGGAATCATATTCGTTCATGAATGATTTGTATTCTGTATACATTTTTTCGTTACGAATGAATTTGCGTTCTAATGATCGAAATTGTGCAATAGCTTTATTTTTTGATTCACCTAAATTTTCTGTAAAATTCTGTTTTAGTGGAAGTCTTACTTCATAGCGCCCATCATCTCGTCTGATTGTCGTATCTTTATAATACTGCAAGCATTGCTGATTTTCTATTGATAAGGGAGAGTCGCCAGTAATATCTTCGACTTCCCAGAACTTTTGAATTTCGTCCAAATTATTCAATATAACATTACATTGTATCGTCTTGACGTTACCGCTTAAAATCCAGCCCAAACGCGTATTTTGTGCTAGGGGTGTCTCGTTACTTATTTTACATATGCCTTCTAATAATATCAATGAATAAATGTCAGCGCCGAGTAATAAATCTACGGGACGGCTAAAATTAAATTCGGGATCTGCTAATGTTATATTGTGTAAATAAGACCATGTTGGCTTTTTAAATGATTGGCTGGGTAAGTTTTTTATTAAACTGTTCATTATGAGTACGTCTGTTTCAAATTCAAATTCATTGTTAGTTGACGAACATTTGATATGTATCATCCCCTTGCAGTTGTTTTCATTCGCACCTATTCCGGAAATGACTCCTTGACATTTACGTCGAGGCAACCCTAACCGCTGCACTGCATTCTCAGTTATAAGCGACGCTTGCGATCCTTGATCTAACAAAGCCCTTAACTCCATGTATGATCCGTCAAAAGATTGTACCTTTATTATCGCTGTTGCCAAAAGTATCTCTGGGATTTCAGGTTGTAAAGACACATGAGAGTTGCTGCGTACTGTTGGCGACGGCTCCGGGCGTGCGGTGTTTTGAAATTTTCTGAAGTTCGAAGTGTTGGATGGTTTATCGGATAGAGTGAATGCATCATGTAATAGAGTGTTATGAGCCTGATTACACTCACGGCATTTTTTATCCGAAATACATGCTTTACCATAATGGCAATAGAGGCAATTTTGACATATATTGAACCTTGATATTGTTTTGCGTTTTGATACTGCATCCATGTCTAAAAATTGTTTACAAAAGAAAACTCCGTGATCATCGCTTTTACAAATGGGACATTTATAATATTTCGTAGCGTAAACATTTTTATTATTGTAAAATGATTGCGAAATGTTGCGGCTCTGGGCCGGAAATGATTGCTTAATGTTAGAATGAATATTGAGTGGTTTATGATAGTTTGGACTCGATGTGGCATTAAAATTATGATTTCTTATGATTGACTTAGACGAGTGTTCTTGTTTACGTCGAGAAGTTTCCATGGTGGTAAACTTGTTCTCCAAAAATATTAAAAACTCTGATATATTAGGTATTTCTCTCGGCTGTTTCACTGATGATATGTACTCACTGTGGGTCTCAGTATCTAATTTTTGACAAAGAATATAAATTAGTAGGGGATCCCACGAGTCAACCATTACTCCTAAATTTTTGATGGCGTTTAGGGTTTCACGTGTAGTATCATGAATCCGTTTTAAATGATTGATTGATACTTGTTGTATAGCTGGAATACTAAATAGAATATCAAAATGTGAGTTGAGAATTAATTTCTTATTATCGTACCTATGCGTCAGTATATCCCAGCAAACGGTATAATTTTCAGATGATATTGATAAATGTTGAATGAGTCGCTCAGCTTCACCTTTGACCTTTGATTTTAAAAATTGCATTCGTTGAGCGTTTGACAGTGACGGGTTGTTGTGTATAGTTTCGACAAAAAGATCCTTGAAAGAAGTCCACTGATGGTAGCTTCCACTAAATGAAGGTAACTCTATATGAGGTGTCGATTGTTCACGGTGTGATACGGACCACAATTTCCTATTAATTGACTTGATAACTTCGTTATACTTTCGTTCAAATCTAAAATATACAGCTTCGTAATCTGGATCCCTACTTCCCAACTCACTGTCTAGCTCCCAATGTAGAGAATCTATTGCTGACCAACGAGTTTGAATTACACGCAACAAATGATCGAACTCCCATTTTTCAGTGATATTATCTAGGTTGATATTACAAATAGTATGTTCAAACGCCTTAAAGTGACTACTCTGTTTCCTTAACATTTCGTCAGTCTTACTACTCATGCCTTGTGATCGTGATGAAGTACCTTGCTCTGCTATTTGATGAGAACTCGGTATAGTCATGGGCGTAGCTGGCTTGATAACTGGAGTGGAAGGTCTGCTGCCCTCATCTCTCGGTTGATAATTTTGAATAGTCGCCCTTATGTTTGAAAACCTATCTTTTACTATCTCATACTGATTTGAAGTAAAGTATTGATGAGTTTTATTCCCAAAACCACACAGCTTAACATGATTCGATTGATATTCATGCCAATAAGAATCTAAAGTTTCGAGACGTTGTTTGATATAGGTAACGGTTTTCCTATCCGAACCGTCCTTCTTAAAATTAGTGTAAATTTGCTCAATAGCAGATGACAGCTGCTCCTGAGTTTGTAGAAAATCTTCCATGCTGGACATTTTGATATAATGTAGTAAAAATAACTAAATGATACGCCTTACTTGTTTCGATGATACTGATCGATCGTGATTGCAAGTTACTCACGATCCCTAACGCTGCTTCTTGAAGTTTCTTCGATAACTTCAGTGAAAGTCCACCTCACTTGTGACACAGAGTCACTATTTTCTGAGTTCACGTTTGCACTGAGTCACTCGCGAGGCCCTTATTCGAAGGACCAAAAAAGATGTACGGTTCGTACACCTTTTTATGATAGAGAGAGAGAAGTAAAAGTCTTGATATATTATAATTGATATATTGTAACAAGTAAACTAAAATTACTGATATATGGAATGATAATGATATGAGTACGCGCGGCGTGATTGATTACCGATGACGAACTAACTACAAATTGACCTAAATTAATGAATGTAGCGTAAAATGATTACTAGACAAAACTGTACGAGTTGGCTCGTACATTAACATCAGGAGCACTCTCGGTGATACTAATCAAACCAACAAGCAGTATCATCGTCATAAAGAAACAAAAAAGGCAAGCAGAATATAGACTGTAATTTTTAAACTCATACAGCCTACTGCCTACTTCTTTTTTAAATTTAAGAAATACATGATGCGACGCATGAGCAGACAGGAAAACTTTAAAAAATATATCGATTATGATACGAATTTGATATCTGAAAATAAATATCGAAAGCCGATATATCGCGGAAAGATATATAGCTGATTTATATCGATATTTTCCAATAAAATATCGATATTTTTATATAACGATTTTTTTTGCTCAATCCTAGTGATTGATAGTTTCTTCTGTCAAAGGCCAGAATATAAAAAAGAAAAAAAAAAAAGAGATTCAACAGAATTGTATTTTATTTTGTCTGGAATGCAATTATTAATTTGAGTCCTAGAAAATACAACTCCTTAAGTATAGTGTACCAGCACGGAATAAAAATTTAACCATTTGTAGCATGTCGCTAACGTCTCACACAGCAGTTCCATTAGTTCAGAAAACTCAGGTTTTCAAAAATGATTCTGTTGCGGTATCGTCTACTAAACAAAATCCGGCACGTGGTGAGGTAGCACTTACACCAACTCATAACTCTTTGACACCACATACTTCAAATCCACACAGTTCTATGACTGCTGTTACGCCCTTAGCCAGTGGATCAAATCAAGCAAAAAATAGTATCAAGTTTCAGTAAGTAATTTACTTCTTGTTATATATGATCAATTTTTCATTCATAATTCTGTACTGAAAAATGTTAGTAAAAAATGCTTAAAAAAATCCACTTCTTCCCTGGCACTCGGAGATACTACTCGAACCAGTCATGGGTTTCTTTCGCAATCTTAATTTATCATTCTATTTTGGTAGCAGTAATAAGCACCTATTATTCAGTGGCAGAAAACAGAAAGGGTTTAACTCAGGCAATCACATCTTTACAAACTATAAAACTGAAAATACTCTTAACTATATGTCCTGTTATGTTGTGTGAACATAATTTTTAAACCTTGGCTATATGGTTAAAATCTGAATCTAATTGTCTGTAAACTAATATTTTCTTATTGCCGAAAATAAGTTATTATTTAGTTATGGCTCTCTCTATATATAACTGACTGACCTCAAAAATGGTGTATCTTAACATCATGGTTTACTAAAGCAGAAAAAATAATCATTTAACTGCCCTAAAAAAAATACTGTAAATAACAGTGTGTAAGTACATTCATGTTACCTACAGTGTCTTGAAATTTAGGTGTAACTCTTTGAATTTAAGGATCTTAATAAAAAGTCCCAACTTTTCTTAACATATATTATTTAACAATATTTAAAAAGAAAAGGCACACAACATAAAAAAATTGTTTTTGTACATTTAAATTATACTTTTTTTAGGCAAAACTAATATTAAAGCAACATATTTAAAATATAAATTATTTTATATATTTCTTATAACAAATGAAACCAAGAATTGAAAATGGCACACTATCTTCTTCATCAGTGTTATCGACAAACTTATTAATAAATTTCAAAGGAGATGGCACAAAACTTCCCTTAGAGTTGTTTCGTGTTTTAATATTAAAACTTAATAAGATTAAAATGACAATATATAGCCATAAATTACATTATTAAAGCCATCTAGTGGGTTTCTGAAAACTATCAGTAAATATACTAAAATAATTTTCTGACAACAATGGAAACCAGACTAGCATCATTTTAAAATTATAGAAACACTTCACTTCACAATTTCCTACAAACAATGACATAGAATCTGTATTAACTCAATGACAATATGTATGATAATGATATTATTATAGTTAGTATTATATTTTTTATTTAACTGCCCTCAAAGAGTATGTAAAAAATTAAATCCCTTTAAAATACCTATTTTGTTGTTTATTTTTTGTTTGTTAAAGTGATATTGCAATATAAAATGAACATAAAAAGTGAAAAATATTGTTGACTTTTACTCATGTGGCAAATCTTGAACAGATCATGGGACATTTCCTTTAAATGTTCTTCTTTTTGGGTAAACTTATTTAGTATTTTGTCTGTGTCTGTAATAAAGACTGGATGGAACTCAAACAATACAAACAACCTTTTATCACAGCAAGTTAAATAGCCTGTTGGGGCATAAGCGAGAGTAATCTAAAATATTCTTGACACAAATTCATGCAACCCCTAATTTACAAAATATTCACTCAGGTTATATTGTCCTAAAATGGTTAAGTTTGATTTTAGTATATTTTAGTAATTTGAAAAACATTAACCTTAAAAATGTTGTAAATTGAGAAGTTTTAAAAACGGATCCAGTGAAAATGGCGTATCTAATACAGTGTATTTATTCAGTAACCATGTAACTTGACCTTTTTTTTTAAACATAAACTTTCGCTAGTTATATCTCTAAATAGTTTAAAATATCTGTTTTATGCCCATACAAGAAGAAGAAGACGCCCTAAAAAACTAGAGTACTTTTTAAAAGTATTTTCCGATTTCAAGATTGCATATCATCGTAAAGCAATGAGACCCAGACCAATCGACACAGAAAGAAGCTATTTATTTATCACCATAAGTTTAGTCTAGTTATGACCTTTAAATAAGATACACTCTTTCTGTTTTCCATTGTCAATGTGTTTATTATATAAATAAATATGTTGCCCATAATGAGAAACTTGTTTCAGAAATTGTGTCTCTTCTGTCAGCCTTGGATGTGAGTTGAAGCTATTAGATATATACTGCAGAACACGATTTTCGGAATATAACCCTGCTAGATTTCGAGGCGTTGTAATGAGAATATTAGAACCTCGTGTTACTGCTTTAGTCTTTAGGTGAGTAATTGCAAAATAGATATTAAAGACCCAAAGAGTGCCCAATTCCAGTAGAGTGGTGTAGATCTCTTGGTCAATAAAGATATTAATATTTTTTTTAGTACATGACTTATTTTAGGCTCATTATTGATTATTATTATTATTATTTAGGTTGTTGGACTATTAAACTATTAAAAAGAATAGGAAAATTGATTGGAAATAGATCAGAAAGGTAGATGAGAAAAGACATTTTTGTCAGAAATATACAATTATTGATGGTGTTTTTTTGTTTTGACAGGTCTGGAAAAATTGTTTGTACTGGAGCAAAAACTGAACATGATTCTTATATAGCAGCAAGAAAATTTGCTAGAATAATTCAAAGGCTAGGTTTCCCTGTAAGTATATTTTTATCTAATGAAGACATTATCAGTGCTAGATTAGCCTTAGCAAATACATCAATTACTTAGGGCATCTCTTTTGGGCACCAAAAACAATATTGCTTATTCAAATATATGGTTGTTTTAAAAAAGAGAATCATTCATGCACAATTGTATAAAGTGAATAATACAGACATGATGATAAAATTATTAAAAATATGTATATATAGGTATAAACATACTACATTTAATTTTCTTCTCCAACATTGTTACTTGTACTGTCAGGTTGTTCCTTGACAAAGGCCTCCAGTTTAGCCCATTCCCGTTATTCTCATTTTTATTTTATTCTTTTTGGAAAAAATAATTTGAAACATACTTTAAAATAATTACATGAAAACTAGATGAAGGGGGTCATGGCTAGTATGTGATGTTCATCACCAAAGAGGGTAAAAAGTGTAGATATGAAGTTTTACATTTATTTTTTACAGGCAAAATTTTTAGATTTTAAGATCCAGAATTTTATTGCATCTGCTGATTTACGATTTCCGGTTAGATTAGAAGCACTTCAACAGGCTCATGGCCAATTCACATCTTATGAGCCAGAATTATTTCCTGGTTTAGTTTATAGAATGGTTAGACCAAGAGTAGTTCTACTAATATTTGTTAATGGGAAAATTGTTTTGACAGGTATGTACTAATGATAATAAACGTGTCCATCAGTCTGGCAGTGCTTCCCTTTTAGATTTTGAGATTAGTTCTGGTTCAATCTATACTTTATTTATCACTCCGTTACGAACTAGGGACAAAGCCAAGTAAAGTAGTTTCGGAGCCAGGCTGACGTCATTCTGGCAGCGCCTCAGCTAAAACTGTGTTTATGATGAATTTCAAAAAAACTTCCCAGGTGACCATGGGTGCTATGTCTATGCGCCTAGACCAATGAGGGGACCAGGTGACCCTCATTGGTCTAGGCGCATAGACATAGCACCCATGAATGGCTAAAGTAAATAATTTTAGAGATATTTAAGTAATACTGTGGTGCTGTTGGGCTGACGTTTTTCTGACAGCGCCATGCTATATCTTTTGACCTACACCACTTTACAAGATCATTCTTTTAAAATGTCAAGTCATTTTAGTGTGAATTCATATGACATTGAAATGTTTCATTAAACTAGAATGTTTGTTGTGCTATCTGATCTATTAATAGTAATTATCTATTCTATTAATAATATATCAATTAATTACCTCAAAAAGTATTTACTTTAGCCATTCATAGGCGCTATGTCCTATTCCCGTTATTCTCATTCCCGTTATAGTCATAAATAAGGAATTAAATGATCATATAGAAAGTTTTTTGCAATTCATTGTAAATACAGAGTTCTGGCTGTGGCACTGGCAGAATGACGGTAGCTCGATAACGCCACAAAATCTAAAAGGGTGGCGCCAGACTGACGCACAAATATTAAAGAAAAGCATATGTACTGTAAATATAAATGTAAGTAAAGGCTCTTCAATTCTTGTTGGTGTCAGAGTGGCGGCGCCACCATCTTCGATTTTGAAATGGATTCTTGGTTTATCTGGTCTAGTATTTATCAATATATTAGGAAATGGGGACAAATAGCGAAGTAACATAGTTTCGAAGATAAAAAGATAGTTACGACGTCAGCCCAGCAGATCCACACTGCCCTCCTGAGCCTAAACCGAAGTAACAACAAAATTTGACTTTTTGAGTTTTAATATCGCCTGAAAGCTTAATTAAAATCCTAAAAGCTTAATTTATATTTCTTTTTCCTAAGATTTGTAAGTTTTTATGTTTCTTTTAAAATCAAAGCACTAAATTTTGTAAATTTATCTGAAAATACGCTAAGATTACCACTTAATATGCAGTAACAATTTTGACCTACTTACTGCATTTTAGTTAGTTAATATAATACCAAAACTGTTGAATAAGCGCCCACTCAAGCGCATTTTAAATAGTTTAAAAATTGATTTAGCAAAAAACTACATGTAGTAATATAGGGGTTAAAAAATTATAATGGCTATTATTAATATATTTATCATGTTTTCAGCCTCATATTTGTTTGTTTATTATTTTAGTATTCAAACTTTTCATAATCAGTGATTTGTTAAAGATACATAGCATTTAAAATTTACGCGCGTTTTTCTCGGTATCTTATTTTTGATATTACTGCAGTTTAGGCTCGGGACGATTGTACAGCTATGTCTTTACAAAATTTGACTTTTTGAGTTTTAATATCGCCTGAAAGCTTAATTAAAATCCTAAAAGCTTAATTTATATTTCTTTTTCCTAAGATTTGTAAGTTTTTATGTATCTTTTAAAATCAAAGCACTAAATTTTGTAAATTTATCTGAAAATACGCTAAGATTACCACTTAATATGCAGTAACAATTTTGACCTACTTACTGCATTTTAGTTAGTTAATATAATACCAAAACTGTTGAATAAGCGCCCACTCAAGCGCATTTTAAATAGTTTAAAAATTGATTTAGCAAAAAACTACATGTAGTAATATAGGGGTTAAAAAATTATAATGGCTATTATTAATATATTTATCATGTTTTCAGCCTCACATTTGTTTGTTTATTATTTTAGTATTCAAACTTTTCATAATCAGTGATTTGTTAAAGATACATAGCATTTAAAATTTACGCGCGTTTTTCTCGGTATCTTATTTTTGATATTACTGCAGTTTAGGCTCGGGACGATTGTACAGCTATGTCTTTGCACTTATAATTAACTCTAAGAACTTTCTAGGCCATTTTTTAGACCCTTATTTATCAATCTGTGACATAGCGGAGATAATGAGGAAACAATTTGCCGCTGCTGTCAGCCCAGTAGCTATACAAAGATTCTGGTTTATCCCTGAAAAAACGTAACTTGGCTTTTTGCTCTTATTTCATAATGGAGAACTGATAAGGGACCAGATGGATCAATAATTAATTTCAAAATCGAAGAGGGTGGCGCTGTAAGGCTGCGCTATAGTTGTGCTTATTTATATTCGTGTATAGCGTGTGCTGCAGTGGAAACATTGATCTACGTTAGCAATCAAACGAATTCATACGCCTCGTTCACGTACAATCATATTAAATCAAGCCTTGCCTCGATCTAATAATCTTTAAAACTTTTTAATTGTTATGCCTGGTGTGTACAATATATTACTAAAATAACAAACAAAAGAAAATATCATTTACTCAATTATAAATTCTCTTCCAGGTGGGAAAACAAGGAACGAAGTCTATGAAGCATTGGACATAATATACCCTATTCTAAGAAGTTATAGGAAAAGTTAAGTTTATTTCGATTTTAATTATCTCCAGTTGGAGATGTACAAATCGTTAAATTTTGCAGTTTACAAGTTTTTATTATGTTGACATAATAGTTCGTGAGATATGCTGGAACATTAAACAATTTAAGAAATGGTCGAAATAATCAATTTTGTAATATTAGAGTTGATAATTTAATAATATATGCGTATAGATAAGTTTTTATAATGATGATTTATATACTATTTTATATTAATATAAAATGCAATCAATAAAAATCTTGTGTTACTAAGTACTTATTTATTAATAAAAAAAACTAAAGTACAAAATTAGGCAATTATGAATTAGTCATTTTTTTTTACTTAATCTTATATTAGTCTTGCGATGCTTAGTTCGAAATAATAATCATATAAAATACAATACCATAATTAAAACATGTTTGTAATAAACGGCAACTCTCGTCCTCTGAAAGCAGTCGTAGTCGGACGAGAACTAAGTACTATTATATATAAGAGTAAACTGACACAGCAGCATATTAGGATACTATAAAATGGGTATCATTATATTTTTTAAACTCTACTTCCAATACGTAAAATAATAATTTATTTGCGATTTTTTAAGAATAACCAAAAGCTGACGTGCTGATTGAGTATTCATATGAAACACATTTTTCCATGTTAAAACTAGCTCGGCGAGTAAGTAGCTTCGAGACTTGGTTAAGAGGTACTTAATTTTTGCTCGTCAAGAAATTGTTCTGTGGTCGGTTGTATGGCTTATTTTGTGGTTTGCCCTACATATATTTTTTCTAAGTATGACAAATGGCGGACACCATGGTCGGAAGCAAGGGAAGCCCGTAATATAGGGTGAGACCAAAGAATCGCCGTGTTAATTTATTACATTTTCGCTTCATTAACTTAACAGATTGATTCCAAGTTTTTTTCTAATCGTGCTCCAAGTTAAATTTATCTAACGACTATTTTAAAGTGTGATTTATGATATGTAGTACAATACAAGTAGGTATTTATTTCATAATAGGGTAGTTTCGGTAGTGAATAAGTCACGAAAATGCTCAAAAAACAAAAAATTACATCAGAATAAACACAGAGATTCTGATTTCAAGTCTTAAAATAGCACGATTATCTTAAAATTAAGTGCGATTTTTTGTCTGTGTGTCAAAAGACTTGAAACACGATCCGCCATTTTGTGACGTCACTGTGGCGACAGATTAGTCATAAAGATAAGCCTATTAGTTATAAATCAAATTCCTAGATGGCGCTGTTCTTAGCTTATTTATATCTTTTTATTTCGTAATCAATCGTTAGATGACAATGTTCTTATATTGTTGACAGCTTTTAATCTTCTTCTCTATGCATCTGTTCTGTGTACATGTCAGAATGACGTCATGAATATGACGGACAGCGTTTTCGCGGGTATAAAAAGTTTAAATTTTGATTTAATTTTAAGGCAAGAAGCCTTAAAAATCAAATACGTATTTATTTTCGAGATATTTGTTTTACGGCTTTTTATATAAAAATAGACAGTTACAAGAATTATTCCAAATAGTGTAGAATACCCTATTCTAGAGAAAAGTACAATTCACAAATATGAAACTTTAGGGCGCGCCATATACTGAAATAATCAAATAACTGCAACATTTTGTACTTGCTAGCTAAAATAAATTGAATATTTTGGCTTAAACATCTATACACTGGATTTCAAATTGTGATAGAATCCTTACATATTAAGCGTAAACGTTACTATACACTGATGACACTGCGCAATGATGATACTATAAAACTTATTAATCATTTTAGTACAAGTTTCCATGACCGCACTTTGATATTACAAGAAAAAAAATCATTTCCAGCATCTTAAGAGCCGTATGCGGTCAAAATTTATAGAATTTTTCATCTGCTGTTAAGAAAGAAAATACTTATAAGATCGCCCACGGCAAATACGATCAGGATCATACATATTCGCAACACCGTCAGAACGTAGCCGACGTCTACGACTAAGTGAGACCGCACAAGGTACATCATGGCATAATTATCTACTGATTTAAACTCATGCGCTGCGTCGCCAATGCAGAGTGACCGAAACTGTAAATTATCTTAAATCTAGTAAAATTTAAGTTAGCTTAATCGATTTCATTTTTGTTATTGATATTCCTAATTAAATGAGTTGTCGATTCAAAATTAAAGTAACTACCTAGTTAAGTTTTTTTATCATTCAGATAGAAAGTACCTTTGTCTATGTAAAATATATCACATCTTTTGAAACATCGTCTGGACATTAAGGTGAAGTGTAGACAGTAAGATGATAAGCTCGAGATCCATGATTTAATCCCATCATTTTGATTACCATATAAAATTAATTAAAAAAAAATGAAGTCTGTCCGGTTACGTTATTATAAATAAATTATTACTTTATGATCCACAGCTGAAACAAGCATCCTTATTTTGTAAAGAACAAGTTATTGCTGCCATGTTTGTATCATCAGTGTCAGAATTGCCATTGGTTATTTTGCCTTTTACTTTCGATTTGTCGACTGTAAACTGTATAGCATTAGCAGCTGGCTTAGTTCGTAAATAGTACATGCCTGTTTTGAGTCCCATTTTCCAGGCATAAAAATGAATCGATGTTAATTTACCATAATTTGGTTCAGCAACATGAATGTTGAAAGACTGACTTTGGTCAATAAAAGCACCTCTGTCAGCAGCCATTTGAATCGTCGTTTTTACCGACACTTCCCAAACTGTCTTATATAAATCTCTAATTTCTTTTGGAATTGCATCTATATTTTGAATTGATCCATTGTTATGTATTATAAGATTTTTCATATCATCATCCCACAAATCTGCCTCTGTTAAGTCACGAAGTAAATGATGGTTTACAACTTGAAATTCACCTGATAATACCCTTCTTTGATATATATTTGATGTGAATGGTTCGAACGATTCATTATTACCGAGAATTTGAGCCGTAGATGCTGTTGGCATAGGCGCTAACAATAAAGAATTCCTCAAACCATGTTTAGCGATTTTACTTTTTAATGCACTCCAATCCCAAAGATCAGTAGGGGTTTTGTTCCACATATCATATTGTAATATACCTTGGCTAGCTGGACATCCGTCATATGTTTCATAAACCCCATACTTTTCCGCTAGCTCGCAACTAGCTTCTAGTGCGCCATAATAAATAGTTTCAAATATTTGTTGATTTAATTTTATGGCTGCTTCACTTTCGTATGCAATACGCATCATAACAAAAGTGTCTGCTAGCCCTTGAACACCAATCCCAATAGGTCGATGCCTCATATTCGATTTTCTTGCCTCGGGAATTGGGTAGAAGTTAACATCAATGATTTTGTTTAAATTTTGTGTAATGATTTTGGTTACTTCTTTTAATTTATCGAAATTGTACGTTTTATCTTCATTAATAAACATATTTAAAGCAATAGACGCCAAATTACATACGGCTACTTCATCCGCTGACGTATATTCCACAATTTCTGTGCATAAATTACTGCATTTAATTGTACCCAAATTCTTTTGATTACTTTTACTATTGCAAGCGTCTTTGTATAACATGTAGGGTGTACCTGTTTCCACTTGTGCTTCGATAATGGCTTTCCACAAAATTTGAGCTCTTACTTGTTTCACGAAACGTTTTTCACTTTCGTATTGTTCATATAATTTTTCGAATTCATCTCCCCAACAATCTGCCAATCCAGGACAATCATGAGGACACATTAGACTCCAGTCTTCATTTTTCTCTACTCTCTTCATAAAAAGATCTGGTATCCACAAAGCATAAAATAATTCCCGAGCACGTACTTCTTCTTTGCCGGTGTTCTTTTTGAGGTCCAGAAATTCAAAAATGTCTGCATGCCAAGGTTCCAAATACACTGCAAATGCTCCGGGACGTTTGTTTCCACCTTGGTCTACATATCTTGCAGTGTTATTGTAAACCCTAAGCATAGGCACTATTCCATTTGAAACCCCATTGGTGCCAGCAATATAAGATCCTTTAGCTCTAATACAATGAACGTGAACGCCGATTCCACCGGCAGATTTAGATATCAGCGCACACTGTTTCAAAGTATCGTATATGCCTTCAATGCTATCATCCTTCATAGCTACGAGAAAACAAGACGACAACTGAGGTCGCGGTGTAGCTGCTGAAAACAGGGTAGGACTGGCATGTGTAAAATATTTTTCGGATAGCAAATTGTAAGTATTTATTGCAGCATCTATATCTTCTCCATGAATACCGATTGAAACTCGCATTAACATATGCTGTGGACGTTCGGCAACCTGAAACGTATATAAAATGATTTATAACATGAAAAAAAATAGAGCTACCTAACTTTAGCATAGTGTAAAAGTCGTCACTTATTTAAAGTTCTTAACTGTTTTTAATATTTTAGATCGCTTTAAAGACTTTAGGACTAAAACATTAATTTGAAAAAGAGTATTATTTTGGCAGTAAAGAGAAAAACTTATATCTTAAAAAGTTTGTACATTTTAGCATGCACAACAAATTACCTTGTTATTAATTTTCAATAAATATGACCTTTCTAGAGTTTTAAAACCAAAGTAATTGTATTTGAAATCTCTATCGTACACAATAGCAGAGTCTAATCTTTCTTTGTTCTTCATTATTATATTATAATGAGTATCCGAAATCATGGGAGCCCTTTTCTTGGTATGTGGATTGACGATATTGTATAAATTGGTCATAACCTCTGAAATAGAAAAAAAAAATTATATGCACGAGTATAATGAAGCAATGGTGCACTAAAGATGTAGGGATAAATAGTCGACGACACGTCAGGTTATTGGAAAAGGATACATTCCTTTGAACGATTTTACGCCATGATATATTCATGCTTAAGTTCAAAATTAACTGAACTTAAGCATGAATATATCATGGCCTTACTCTTTTTTAGTAACCTGAGGCGCTGGTATGTGTGCCATGAAATCAAACTTAAAATTAGACGCTGTTTTTGTAATATTTACCTGAGAAATGTTTTTTAGTTTCTTTATGTAAATTAGATATAGCTAATCGTGCGGCCAATACTGCGTAGTCGGGGTGATCGGTTGTCATTGTTGCTGCTGTTTCTGCCGCTAAATTATCTAATTCCACAGTCGTTACACCTGAGTAAATTCCACTTATAACTTTCAAAGTTATAGAGACCTGGGATGATAAAAGGTTTTTAACAAATTATCGAGTTTACTGTCATAAACAGAAACAAAACATTTCATCTATGAATTAATTAACTGCTAAATTAAACGTTGATAGGATGTAATTAGAATTGAAATGAATGAATAAAAAAATAATTAAATGATTATAAATGTATGTGGGTACATTGATAGGATGACGATTGGAATTATTTATACTAAAAATACATTTTACTTACAGGATCCACAAAGTCCATGTTTAATCCATAACAAAGCTTCTTTATTCGTGATGTTATTTTGTCAATATGGACCTCCTCCATTCTCCCTCCTGCACAATATCATTAATCCATATAAGTTAATTGTGATTAAAGAATGTTGCTTCGTATCAGGGCTGAATCTAGGGGAACAGGTGGGGGCATATGCCCCGGGCGTCAAGTAGTACCAAAACCATCATCATATGTAGTAGGTTGGGAAAAACTCTTTTCGTATATAGTATGCATAAACTTCTAATAAAATCTTTAAGGCTATATCATTTTATCTGGCTTGTTTCGGTATCATGAAAAATTTTAAATTTTAAAGAAGATAACTCACAATTCAAATAAGGAAAATGTGTGATTTTCATTTGTTTTCTTCATTGTCAAAACGAATAAATAAATAAATTTATGAAGGTTTATTTTATTTCGCAATGACATAACACCTTGTCCGCTAGACAGAAAATGGATTCAATGTTGTATCACAGTGGCTCGCTGCAAACAGTTTGACACTAAATGCAGAGAAAACCAAATATATATGTTTCTCTATACGTTAAATGAACATGGAGAAGACAAAAATAATGTCAAACTCCCATGTCGTACCCACTCCAGTGAATGTTGGAGGCTCTACACTGGAAGCTGTCGACGAGTACGTTTACCTGGGACAAATAGTCCGATTAGGTAAGTCCAACTTCCAGAGAGAGGCAAATCGACGGATCCAACTCGGCTGGGCAGCGTTCGGGAAGCTACGCAGTGTATTCTCGGAACATCTACCGCAGTGTCTCAAGACGAAAGTCTTTAATTCGTGCGTTGCCAGTGATGACATACGGTACTGAGACGTGGCCGCTTACGATGGGCCTCATAAGGAAGCTCAAAGTCGCCCAGAGAGCAATGGAAAGGGCTATGCTCGGGGTTTCTTTGCGAGATCGAATCAGAAACGATGAGATCCGCAGAAGAACGAAAGTCACCGACATAGCCCAAAGAATTGCGAACCTCAAGTGGCAGTGGGCAGGGCACATCACTCGCAGGACTGACGGCCGTTGGGGCGGTAAGGTGTGGCGACCGCGTACCGGGAGACGCAGTGTTGGTAGGCCCCCCACAAGGTGGACCGACGATCTGGTAAAGGTCGCGGGAAGCCGATGCGGGAGGCGCAGGACCGATCGCTTTGGAAATCTTTGGGGGAGGCCTATGCCCAGCAGTGGGCGTCTCTCGGCTGAAGTGATGATGATGATGATGATACATTAAATTATCTTTACTGCAACATCTGAATATACAGCGTGTTTGGTAATACCTGTATAATCCCGAATATGGCACATACGGTATGATGAATAGAACCCAGAAAAATGATCACTAAGACTGAAACCCAGCACATGACCTAGATATTCAGCTTTTTTTCTTCGAAGTAAAACTGTACGCTGACAACCCTAAAAACAGCTGTTGTGTTGTATTTGGTCATCGACTCCATGTGCCGAACTAGTTTAAAAAATAACAGAAGTTAAATAAATCTAAAGATAAATTGCCTAGAATAAATATGCATCTGAGAGGAATTTATTATTTCCAAACAAAGAAAAAGTTAGTAGTAAATGACTTTTAACTATAAAAAAACACTAATCTTGTGATTAACGGTGTTTCAAAAACTATTAATATGAAAACTTCTGTAATAATACAGTCAAAATAAAAAAGAAATTGCAAATACTTTGATTGAAGTTCAATATCTGCACCATTGCTCACATTAGTCTATGCAAGAAGGAGCGAGAGGGACATAAAATCGACGACGATGTGTATTGAGAAACTCGGGTTTCTGATGTGTCAGTAAGGTTCTGTAGATTATTTGCTTTGAAGTTTTGTTATTTTTTTCATAAAGCCGTGTTATTTTCACGAAACAATAAAATACGGACTTATACAATGATATTAATAATCTAAGTATCTCTCTTATTCTTAGTTTAAATGATAATTAAATAAAGGTTAGTTGTAATGGAAAGGTCTAATAATAAATAATATTTCTTGACGCGGAACCCCAAAATCGGTACACTTTTGATTTAGGTACATTGGTGTTCGAGTTGCAATAATAATAACCTATGTAGTTTTGGTCATCGCGTCAGTCGCGTCCGTGACTTTCATCGGCGTACTTGTGAGTTTTCAGAATTTAGAAGGTCAACTTACGTTTTCGTTCTTTCGGGACTTTTGGTTTGTTTTTCATTCTCGTTCTGTTTACCTGTGTATTATGTTTGTGTGCGGTCAGTGCAATGAATTCGTACTCAAATGCCTAATATTACGAGATGATAATGTGTGGCGGTGCTTGTGACGGTAATCTTGCCGCGGCTCGGTGGCGTTATGACGAGCGCCACGTGTCAGGAAGACCTGAAAACCATCGACGTCTTCCTTCTTACCGGTGATTCGCGGCATTTGTGAATTGGTTACATTAACTGGTTCATTCCATAGTGTGCCACAGGTAGGCCGGCCGATCACCTATTCCATCGAGACAGAGGATGACTTTACGTCGAGAGTAACACGACACGGTCTGTGTCGAGTCGAATGGAGATGTGTGTTTTATGCGGTGGCCGGCATATCGAGACCCTGGACTGATAAAGTGGAGGTGAAGTGTAGGTAATGTTGACAAGTGAAAGCTGAAAGAGTGATTAGAACGCTATAGTATGTACCTATTTAATCTTAAATTGTTTTAATTACAAGTAAACTCATACGTAGTCGAGTGCGCGCGTCGGCAACATCAAAATGTATTCAAGGAAACGAGAGAGTGAGAGGTAATGAGAGAAAGAGAGAGAGAAAGAGCGAGTGCGCCGGGACGGCACGTGTAAGCTTACAGGGTTGTAGCATAGTAATTGAAAACAAATTGTTCAAATATTTGTATGAAAATATCAATTTACATGAAATTGTTTTTTGACCTATCAATTGTGTTCTTTGTGCTAGGTTGTATGGCCATGTTTCGGGATTATACAGGTATTACCAAACACGCTGTATATGCACATGATTGTTCTCTTTCACCATAAACACCATGTCATTGTAAAGCAATAAGTAAGTTGAAACATAAAAAACCTTGGTGTAACTATTAAATAAACAATAATAAATAAAAATGTTCTTTAATTACATTGTTTCCATCAATTACAATTTTGAAATTGTCCCAGTAAGTAATATAATATACTTGTATTAGGACCATTTCGCTTCAGCTTTGTGGCAAGTACATATTTTAACGTTAAAAAGAACCAACATTAATGAATGAATGAGTTCGTGAGTGAGTATTGTGTTGTGAATGTGTGTATTGTGTGTTGTGAGTGTGTGTATTGTGTTGTTTTGTGCCTGTGGGTGTGTGTTGTAATCTACATATGTATTATATATTTGTATGTATATGTCCCAGCCAAGCGGCACAATCAGCCAACCAACCGGGCGGCCAGCTTTATTGAAGTGCTAGCCACCCAGCCGGCCAACTACACCACTCGGCTGCGACATACACATAGTACTTAATTAATTAATTCTTTTCAAATGTCCTCAGTTTCCTCATATGTAATAGTTTTTAAGAATTCCATTAATATGTCTTTATATTCGTACAACTGTTTATCATATATATTTAGTTTCCTATTTAATTTATAATATAAATAAGCTGATTGACTGTTATATTGACGTTCTGCGAAGTCTGTATGACTACTAAATGATTTGACCACATTATTACTACGTCGCCTATAAGTTTTTTTGTATCAAAATCCAGTTTTGTGTATTTTCAAAATAATCATTAAAATATACAATTTTCTAATCGTAAGCAAATTACGATCACCATAAAGTCTTTCTGTTGAGTATTTATTTTGTTTGGAGTGCATTATTTTAATAAGTAATCTTTGAGCCCTTTCAAGTACTATTAATTTTATTTTTGTAGCTCTATTGATGAAAATCTTACTTTTAAAAAGCATATACATAACATCATTCGGAGACTTAAAAAACTTGTTTATGTTTTCAAACAATTTAGACATGTAGCAGATGGAAGAACTATGAAATCTGTCTACACTGCGTTGGCTCTATCAGTTATATCATATTGTATAACATGATAGGGCGGAGCAGCGAAAACAACACTGATAGAATTGGAAAGAGCACAGCGATTAATACCTAAAAGTAAGCCATTTTACACGACTGCGGGACGCAAAGGAGGGTAATGTGTTTATCAGTCTATGTATGTATGTATGTTTGTTTCTATGTGGCGTTGTAGAAACCAAATGCGTAGGCCGATTTTAATGATTCTTACGTCAATCGATTCGTCTTAACCTTGCGAGTGTCACTAAAGACATGACAGTAATCAAAATTCATCACAACGACAAGTCTCTTATCACGTGTATCTCTCACTACGGGATGTTGGCAAAATTTCCGTGTATAACAGAACAAGTCCATATTGAAAAAAAAAACTTGACGCCATATTGTCAAAATGAAAAAAATAAAAATCGATGAACTATTTCAAGTAGGGTGTCGTTGAATAAGATTTTAAAATCATCTTTAGGTTCCTTTTATCATTTTTCATTTTAAATAATAGTTTGGATATATAACGATTTAAAGTTGTTTAACAAAACCTTCTCGCTAATTTTCTTACTTATTGATTTAAGTTTTTATTTAAAGTGTAAACGATATACAAACAAAAAAAAAACAGTGAAAAAGCACGAAGAACAAATATTTTTGGTAAAAAAGGAAAGCATATTTGTAGCTTTGGGCCGAGTTAGGTCTCTAGAGGGATTAATCATCAGTAGTTTAGACAACCGCAAGTTACTTAATGAAATAACTAGATTGCGAAATCTACCATCTTATAACAAAGTCAACGAATCGTAACTAAAAAGTATAAAATAAAAATAAATAGTTTAAAGAAAAACAAAAATCCCGACTGCGTAAAACGAATTTAAAAAAATACATGGAAAAATTAACTTCAATAAAAATTAAAAAGAAAGAAACAAGCCAGCAGCAGTAGTATCAAAAAAGATTGGCACGTTGATTTAATTTATAAAAATTCAGGAATTGTTCAGTTTGATACCAAACGTTTTATCAGCCGCTGACTGTTTACGTGAACAATATCTTAAATACTATTATT